AGTGTCATTAACAAAGTTATCAAATATTGTTTATAAAAATAAATCATTAACAAAGCTATCAAATATTGTATATACAAATATTTTTAAATAATAGAACATGTAAAGTAATGATGGAATAATCGAGATTTAATAAATCATTTGGTAAAACAATATTAAAAATTAATGTTAAGATTTAATTAAATAAAGTTAAATATTATAATAGAATCGTATTTATATTATATTATATTATAATCGAATCATATTTACGACATATTAAAATATAAAAAAATATAAATAATATAAGAAAGAAATATAAGATAACAATATTTCTGGAATAAAAAAAAGAGCATTTTTTAATAAATAATCTTAAATTCAATAAAGTTGAGAAAGAAAAAATAAAATTTTAGAGTTAATATTAAAACAATAATTCCGCATTTATAAAAATGAGTAAAAATAAATCAAAATAGTATATAAATATTGTAGAAAAACATAAGTATTAAAATAATTTAATAATTGTATGTTTAATGCGTAGAAAGAGAGAGAAATCTCTCATTTTCTTATAATAATTATTACTATAATGTTACATAATAACTGTTACATAATAATACTACTGCAAAGTTATCTTATGAGACCTGTTTCCAAGTTTAGATTAGTTAATAATCAAGATGAAATTCCGCTCATTAACCAAATCCTAAACCCTTTCAGCTATGTGTTTTGAACTTGTACAAAGATGAAACAAAAAGTAAAGCCAAAAAGTTTCTCACTCGCATGTTTTTAAGGATAAAGCTAGAATGACAGATCAGATAAAAGTTACAGTTTAATTTATACACGTTTAAACTTTATACAAGGCACAATACCGATGTAGAATTAATCTACTTATTTTCATTAAGCTAAAAACCTTTAATACTATTACAGTGGCGTGTCCATCATGGCCGAACAGATTAAAGTTGTAAGTTTTCATTCTTCGTAACACATATAATTCGAAGATTCGTTGACTTTTCTATATGGATCAAGAATAGAATAATAACGACATAATCGTAAATACAAATGGGGAAGAAATCGAAAATAAAATATATTTACTCTTAAAAATTGAAAGAAAATGAAAAATCCTAATAACATGTGAAGAGCAAAGTCAAGTGAAGATAGGTGAATTATTTGTGTAGCAACATCTGCTGGGAGCATGATAACAGATTAAATGTCATTAGAACATACATGTAAATACCTCTACCGAAAGCGCAAAAACCGGAGTGTTTCAAGAAATATGTGCGGACAATTTACAGCGTGTCATGCACGCGGTCACTTACTGCCTTAATGAAAACGATAAATAAAACGTAAAACAAATTCCGGGATTTAAAGGGAGACAAACAATAATTCGAAGTATAGTTTATGTTGTAATGGCAGTGTGCTTTAAACGGAAAATTAATTTCCTATTACACTAATTGAAGATTTGACGTTGAAGAACTATATAGTATTTTTCAAAAATTATTGAAAAAAATAGAAAATCACCCTCATATATTGTGACGCGTAATTATTGTAGGCGTATGACTGACATTATCAACTTTACCTACTGTTATTAGAGAATTTCATGTATGTAGTATTTTTTAATAAAAGATGTGTTGACATAAATTTTAATATATCATTTTATCGGTAAAATGTGAAAATATTTGTAGTTTAATTTGTCTCTTCATTGAAAGAAACATTCTAAATTTCAAACAACAGCAAATAGCATCATTGTCACCTTGAATGATCGCTTAGTTGACAAACCGATCTATGTTTTCCTATTCAAGGTTATCACATGAAACTATCAAATTGGCTTCTGAAAATCTTACTAAGAATTATTCATTAATTTCTAGCCGCTATTTCGTCTTTTTCTTTTCATTTCTTGTTGTGGTTTCTTTTGTTATATACTTAGAGGTATATATGTGTGTAACAGAGAGAAAGAACAAGAATATACTTATTTTTCTCTCTTCTGGCCCTTTAATTCATGAGCATTTTGTTCATAGACACAAACTCTCAAAATCGTGCCAGAAAGGATTGTTCTTGTGATCACACGCATTAAAAGCATCCTCGTTACCCATTAACCAAAACAAAAAAAAAAGTGACACTCGTCGTAAATACTTTATGAAGTACTCGAGAGTACTCTTGAGAAATTGGTCAACGAATTATAACTTTAGTCACTTGACTACGAAAAATAAGATTTAATTGGAGCGAATTTCTTTTTTATTAAGTTATTATAAGTATAAATTATGTTGTATTTAATTTTTGAAGACGCTGTATGCTATAAAATTAATTTCTTTGCAAGATTATTAACATGCAAATAAATTCGAACATATTTCATATCTGTAATGTCATTATTTTATTATATAATTCTTCGATGTTGATTCTTCTATAATAATTATATATAAATGTAACCTCACATTTAAGCTTCATTTATAACAATTATTTATATTGAAAATAGAACGAAAAATTTTATTAAATATTTTTACGTGTGTAATAATAACAGAAAAATTAATTAATTTTAAAGTTTATGATATTGATTTTATATAATTTAATCGATTTTTCCAAAAAATCGTGCTTCGCAAAGATGTGGGAATGAGACTGGAGAGAGATCCTTTTAACTTTTTTTAATTTATTCGAATCCAGACGCGCGGGTGCAATCGCAGACGAACAAAACAAAGGAAATCTACGAATAACAACATAAGACGGAATGATGACAAGAATTGTACAAAAGGGTCCTTTTCATATCTTTTATGAATCCTCCCCGAGGAGCGTTCTATATTATTTAACTGCTCCGCCCTATTTTATTGGCGAAAACAGTCCAATAATTGATATGCTAAAAAGTTGGTAATACAAGCAAAATAAATAAGGCCATCTCATTATGAAAGTGAAAGAAAGAGAGAGAGAATTTCTTGTAAATTTAATTTTACCATAAATAAATAAGTATAATATAATCTAATTTAATAAATATAATATAATTTTCATTTATCTCTCTCTCTCTCTCTCTCTCTCTCTCTCTCTCTCTCTCTCTCTCT